TTAATAAAATAATTTAAAGTGCCACATGTCAGAAAGTTAGAGAGGGTTAGTTGTGCTTTCATATATATAACTAGGGCGTGGGATATAAAAATTAACATTAATAATTTCTAGTTATTGATTATTTTGTATTTAATCTGATAAAAATTTGGTGTTTATAGTAAAAAATTAGGGGCAATTACAAAAATGTCATTTTTTGTGTGAAAGAATGTCACTTAGGGGTGTCCATTTGCAAAAATGCCACTAATTATATATTTATAAAGCCTATATCTTAAAATTCTAAACCCTAAAAAATGTTTTGACCTCTAAAGCCCCCTAAACCCTCATAACTAAACCCTAATAGAACATAATTAACTCAAACATAAATGATATAAAAAAAAAATTTGAAAAAGTGGCATTTTTATAAAGATTTCAAAAGTGTGGCATTTTTGTAAAGTGGCAGTTGAAAAGTGGCATTTTTTGAAATTTCTCAAAAAATTATCTAAGTTAGAAGTCTAAGCATTTGTATCAAAATGGTGGACATATACAATGTTATACATACAAAGAAATAGATCGTTCATTAAGAAATTTTATAGAATATTAAAGACATCTTCTTTTGCATAAATCTTTAACTTTTATATTTGAATTAATGTTCACTACAGTTTCCTAAAAAAAAGTGGTTGGTCCTCTTTTTTGCATCAAATACGTTTGTAAAAAATTATTGATCATACAAGTTTTAGTATGATTTCCTTCTACCGAGACAACTACATCATCTCGATAGAGATGTTAGAACGCATTTTTTTATTTCATTAGAATCTTGAATCATAAAGAGATAATAACTGATACTTGAACTTTGTCTAACACAAATTGTTTCAATTGCATTAGAGAGTGATTGGTAAATTGGTTTTAATAACTATGCAAGCATTTAAAAAACATTTAAATTCTAAATTTTTCCAATTAGACTTGTTTGATTTAACAATAAGTCCTAAAATCATTCTTTAACTAATTTTTTCATTTCATCTTTTTTTTTCAGGTTATGTTTCTTTTTAATAAAACTATTCTTTTGTGATTTTGTTTTTTAATTATAAAATCGTAATTACCTATGTAAAAGGCAAAAACGAATTACATGTTTCACTACAAGAAAACAAGCCACATACCGACGG